CCCTCTCCAAGTTCATTAATGCCTGTTTTGTTAGAAGACACTACAAAACAAAGACTCTTCTGTTCTTCACTTCAACACTGATTCCTTGTTCTCCGGGCTCTCAATAGTCTACCTTCTTCTTCTTCTTTTTTTTTCTTCTCTCCGTCCACTGGCTGACCTCCACAGACTGTATTTCTTAAGACAATAAACCCCTGAATTTTTCCATAATAGCAAAGTGGTATTCATTTCACCCGGTGCCTCCTGGAAGTGGTCGCTCAAACGCGTCTTTCATAATTCCGAAAATTAGAAGGTCATTTGCCATTTTAATTTGAGAGCGAAGGATGATGGATTGACATCGGCTGAAGCCCTGGTTGTGGTAGACGTGGAGAACGGCGAAGAGCTAAAGCTGAACTCCAGGCCTAGCTTTTTATTCCCCCCACACTTGCCGCAAGTAGTCCTATCTCGTGTTGAAACTGATTATTCCCACTTCCTTGCATACTTCCATCTCCACCATACAACCCTTTAAAGCTGCAGCAGCTATCCCAAGCCGGTCTTCATTTCCAGTCCAACCTGAAATATAAATCCTGGTTCCTACGGTAATTGGCCCGCCTCTCACAGCTATTAGCTTTCTCTGCCATCAATCATTATTGCTCTGTCATGTGTGGGTGCGATGTTTAGGGTTGGAGTCAGTCACTGCACATTTCCAAGAATTATATAAAATAACGCATCCCCGGCATCCCTTTGCATCCTGCAGACAGAGAAAGAGCAGCTGTGAGCAGTCTTTATTACAGGAGGGGGCGGAGACAAGACCAGTCACCCTGCACAAGGAGAAAGAGCAGCAGTGACCGGTCTTTATTACAGGAGGGGGCGGAGACAAGACCAGTCACCCTACACAAGGAGAGAGATCAGCAGTGACCGGTCTTTATCACAGGAGGGGGCGGAGACGAGAACAGTCACCCTGCACAAGGAGAGAGAGCAGCAGTGACCGGTCTTTATTACAGGAGGGGGCGGAGACAAAAACAGTTACCCTGCACAAGGAGAGAGAGCAGCAGTGATTGGTGTTTATTACAGGAGGGGCGGAGACGAGACCAGTTACCCTTCACAAGGAGAGAGGGAGCAGCAGTGACCGGCCTTTATTACAGGAGGGGGCGGAGACGCGACCAGTCACCCTGCACAAAGAGAGCGCAGCAGTGATTGGTGTTTATTACAGGAGGGGCGGAGACGAGACCAGTTACCCTGCACACGGAGAGAGAGAGCAGCAGTGATTGGTCTTTCTTACAGGAGGGGGCGGAGACAAGACCAGTCACCCTGCACAAAGAGAGAGCAGCAGTGATTGGTGTTTATTACAGGAGGGGGCGGAGACGAGACCAGTTACCCTTCACAAGGAGAGAGAGAGCAGCAGTGATTGGTCTTTATTACAGGAGGGGGTGGGCAATATTTGCTCACCCCAGAGTTCAGCTTCAGCATTATGAGTTACATATAAGACGTTGGTTGAGAAACTACGGCATGTGTACTGACATTCTTTCTATGCATTTAGTTCTTCACAGATTACGGTCCAGACTATGTTCTGGAGATCACACCGAGCTGCCGGCCTGATCGTAACGATGCTCAGAAAGTGCAGGAGATCCTTGGGTCAATTAAAGGTGAGAACGAGGAACGGGACTGTGTGACCCCCAAATACAAGCCAGGAAACCGATCATACATAGAGATAGCTGGGTCAGTATAAGTGGGGAGGTGTTAGACCCTTTCTCAGGTCAGACCCAGTACGGACCATTGTCACAACAGCTGCTACATATTCAAAAGGAGCGGTCTCTTCCCCTACAGCGCAGAGCTAAAAGTCAGTCAATGCTGCCGCACCCTTCCCCATTCTCGGGAAGAAGGACAGGAGGAGCGGCCATGAAGAAAAATAAAAAATAAAGACTTCACATATACTTTAATAACTTCATTGTCCTGGCTGTGCCTGCTCGTTACAGCCCCATAGAGTTTAAAGGGATCATCTCTGATCTGAGGGCAAAACCCCATTGACTTCTATGGGAGCATCACCGGTCTGGGGACACAGCCCCATTGACTTCTAAGGGAGCATCACCGGTCTGGGGACACAGCCCCATTGACTTCTATGGGAGCATCACCGGTCTGGGAGCACAGCCCCATTGACTTCTAAGGGAGCATCACCGGTCTGGGGACACAGCCCCATTGACTTCTATGGGAGCATCACCGGTCTGGGAGCACAGCCCCATAGACTCCTATTGGAGCATCACCGGTCTGGGAGCACAGCCCCATAGATTTTTATGGGATCATCTCTGGTCTGAGGACACAGCCCCATAGACGCCTATGGAACCATATCCGGTCTGGGAACACAGCCCCATAGACTTCTATGGGATAATCTCTGATCTGGGGACACAGCCTCATAGACTTCTATGGAACCATCTCTGGTCTGGGGACACAGCCCCATGACGTCTATGGGACCATCTCTGGTCAGGGGACACAGCCTCATAGACTTCTATCTGACCATTTCTAATCTGAGGACATAGCCCCATAGACTTCTATAGAATCATCTCTGGTCTGGGGACACAGCCTTATAGACTTCTGTGGTACCATCTCCAGTCTAAGGACACAACAGAGCTAGGGGGCTGTGTCTGGTCTGGATACACAACCCCATAGATTTCTATGGGGCCACCTCTGGTATAAGCACACAGCTGCACATCTTCTATGGGACCATTTCCGGTCTGTTTTCACACTTGGTTTTTGCAGGAGAACGTTAATACTGTCTGTTTTTTTTTCTCATCAGGTCACATGAAACATGTGGTTTAGCGTTTGCTCATTCTGATGCGGTTTCCTCCTTTTACACGCTCCATCGGCGCGCAGTACAAATCTGCACACACAAAGCTTTGCCACGGCGGTGCTTCCATCCAATACGCGGACTTCTGGGACCAATGTATAATATTTTTAACTTTTAAATATTGTTTTTTTTATAATAAAATAAAGAAATTCTTCTCGTGTGTATTTTGTACATATACAAGATAGCATAATGGGTGTGATCTAAAGCGAACACACTAATCCCGTGGTCGCATGCTGCCTTTGTATCTTTGGTTGTGGGACCAAAAGAGGCGGTCAGAGTCCAGGAATACATCTAGCAGCTTGCTGTAAGGAGGAGGGACTAAGAGTTATGGTATTGATCTGATGGTAAAGTCAGAGGCAATGGCATGAAGTGGGGG